CAGTGATCTTTGTAACCCTGCTTAAAATAAATTCGGATACCCAACCCATTTTGATAAATGGGTACTTTGGGTTGTAAAATGATACCTGTGGGTTATTTGAATTGAGAGTTGCACTTCCTGGAAGCATCCATTAAAAATAAATGCAATGTTATTTTCTGAGGAGAAACTTGTTGGCTTGGAGCTGGGATGGTCTGGGGCCCAGAAGCCATAAAACAGCCTTAGGGCCCGCCTGGACCCCCTGAACTGTACTTTCCTCACCCCCTGGACTTTCTTTCCAGTGCTGTCATTATAAGGCACAAAGGCTGACAAAGGCTTTTGTGCCATATATAAGCACTGAAAAGAACTAGTGGAGATGAAGCAATTCTTATTTAAATAACCCACAGGCTTTTAAAGTGAATTCAAAAGGAAGCCCTTTCTTGGTGGCAATTAAGAGGAACAAAAACGATGGAAGACCTTCTTGGAGAAATGACTTGGACTAAATAAAGGTAGTCCTTTCTCAGAGTGAAATCTTTCATCTTCCGTATCTTTGAAGCAAATCTCCAGGCAGAGGGGGAACAACTGCTTTCAACTTTAAATCCTGCCACTGGGACTTCATCTGAGGTCTGACATGCTCCCTTGAACATATATAAAATGAAAATCCCCAATTCATATCAAAAATAATTGTGTCGATTCTGACTTACGGTGATCCTTTTCAGTGTTCTCTAGGCAAAGAGTACTTAGAAGAGGTTTGCTCTTCCCGTCTTCTGGTCTCCCTCCCCCCGAGACTATGCAGCTTGCCCAGGGCCACCCGGGCTGGCTGTATGTCACAGGAGGCCCAGTGAGGCATTGACCAGCCAACCTCTGGCTCCACAGCCAGGGACATAACTCACAGAGCTATCCAGCCGACTCTCTTTTGTTCGTATTTGGGCCTAAATAATCCTGACTGCAAAACTGGTTTTGCACAAGGCAGGGAGGAATGCTTGAATTGCAAAGAGAGAAAAGAGCTGCTGCAGAGCGCCCGCTAAGGGGTTAACACCGGAGTTCAGAACATCTTGCTAGAGCAAAGCGGCCAGGGCTTCAGGGAAAGCCACGGCTCACATTTTCGATGTTCTGCTTTGGGGAGAACAACTCCTTGGTAATAATAATACTGACATTCCCCCAAGATAGCTCGGACACGATATTCTTTTTCTTTTTTTTGTTCATTCCTTCCTGCCCAACTTACTGTACTGCTTTATGTAACACCACTGTCTCACATAAAAGGCACCTGTTAGAAAAATATATATAGCTTCTCATTAAGCATGCAGGGTGCAGCCAAGGAAACAATTAGATTAATTGACTGAAGACCTTTGTGATCAATGCAAAAGGTGTCCCCAATTAATTGGTCAGCAGCAGATACCTTTAAAAATAGAAACTGCTTATAACACAAATGCTTGGAGAAAACTTCAGATGGTGGGTAGAGAAGACCAAATGATTTAAAACAATTTTAAACCATTTTAAGATGACCCCCACATCCAAAATTAAAGATCACACACACACGCACGCACGCACGCACGCACGCACGCACGCACACACACATACATACATACATACATACATACATACATACATACATACATACATACATACATACATACATACATACATACATACGTGTGTGTGTTTGAGTGTGTTGTGCTCAGCTCTTTCAAACTCAAGGCCATGGCTTCATTTATTGAGGAAATCTATCGCTTAGTTTGGTCTTCCTCTTTTCCTGCTGCCTTGTTTCTAAACCTTGTTGTATTTTCTAATTTTTGTCAGCATTGTTATATTTTCCAGTGAGTTTTATCCTCCCTCTCATAAGATTTCCAAAGGACAAGAGCCTCAGTTTAATCATTTTTTGCTTCTAAGGCATGTTCAAGTTTGATTTGATCTTTCAGGCTCAGATATTGAGACTCAGTTGTGGGTTGATTTCATCCTCTGGGTCTTAGGCTTTTGATCCAAACACATTTTTAAAATGTTTTTACTGTGTTTTCCCCAAAATAAGATAGGGCCTTATATTAATTTTTGCTCCAAAAATGCATTAGGGCTTATTTTTAGGGAATGTTTTAATTTTTGCATGTACAACAATCTACATTTATTCAAATACAGTCATGTCATCTTCTTTTGGTTGCTGCACAGTGGTGGAGGGCAGGGTTTTTCACTTAACTCAAGTTTTGTTTTTGGGATAGGGCTTATATTATGAGCATCCTGAAAACTCATACTAGGGCTTATTTTCAGGTGAGGTCTTATTTTCGTGGAAACAGGGTAATATTTTCTTACTGTGGATAAGTGAATCAGCAGATACTCAAGGACGGCATATTGCATATCTGGTCATCCAGATCATGGAATTCATTCTCACATGTCTGGATCTCTCATTTACACATGCTCAGAAGCACCCTTGTCATTTTCATTTTCTTGCTCCTGCTGCTAGAATTCACATTAACTTTTCAATGAGACTTACTATCCAGTCTGACTGCCAACCACATCCTGTTTTGCAACAGCTGCTGATGGTCCTCCTCTTTGAACTCATGGAACATCATAAGGGCTTCCCTCAAGGACTCAACCTTTTGCCCTGAAATCTTAAGGAACGAGATGCTGCTCGTTGGCTATCTTACTAGCAACGGTATCGCCACCGACCCCACACAAACACTAATTCTCTCGAAATACGTCCACGAAAAGGGATTAGAACACGACTGAATAGGACTTTTCTATCATGTGCACACAGCCACAGCATAAACTGGAAGAGAGAGGAGGGAAATCACAACAGAATGGTGTTAATACTCACTGAAATAATAGCAAGGTTTAAGTCTGTAACAAAAGGAAAATAAAGCAATCTGAACAAGTCTCCCTGAGACTCTAAAATCTCTCTTGTGTATCACCCACAGCCCCAGGTTTTGACCATAGTAAAAAATATCTCAGGACTACTGAGGGATACAGACCTCACTATTTATTTATCTATCAATTATTTTCATTGATATGCCATTCTCATGCCCAAAGAAACTCAAAATGGTGCACATGCTGCTCCGTATATAACAAACAAAAGAATCAAATAATAAAATACTGATAAAAATGCAAGTTAAAATTAGCAAACATCTAAAGCCTGGGAGACAACGTTGTCTTGCGTGCATTACCAAATAAGAAACGCTTGTCTCATAAAGGACGGAATAGCATTCAAAGCCTTGCGGCAACAATTCCACTTGACATCCCCTCCTGAATCCCTGCCAGAATGTCATACTGAGAATTCCAAAGCATGGGGGCAGCAGCACATAAAGATCTCTTCCTAATCATTTTAAAGTGGACAGCATTAACTTTTGGCATGTTTAGAAGAGCAGTTTCAAAAGACCTCCAAAAGGCTCAGGGTAGATGCAGTCCAGATAACTGAGCAACATTGTCTTGTTTGTGGTTATGGGGTACCTTCGTTTTGCAATGGGACAAAGGAAAATGGAGAGTCGCAGCCATTTGCTAATCCTCAGAGGTTTGTTGATATCCTGCATAAAGTTAACATGTGTGTGGCTAAAGTAGTTTCTCAATGATTAATGCTGTACAGTATGACACACACACACACCCATATCTGCAGGATCAGTGTTCATTGATTCACTTATCTGAAAAATATTAAAAACATTAGAACAAGAATTCCCAGAAATATAGATTTCTAATGATGAAGGTGCCAGAACTGGCCACTAGAGGAAATCAGAGACTATGCTATGTGTAGTATTTGCTATAATCTGCATTTTGCAGCATCCGCAGGGGAGCTTGGAACCAATCCTCCATCAATATGGGGGTCCTACTTTATTTACAATGCTTAGTGCAACCTTCCTCTGAAAACCTTCTTCCACACAGGTCCTGGTATCCCAGGACTGCTTTTGCATCCACATAATGGAACTCAGACTCCCTTTTTCATGGCTTGGGGACTCCCTAATCGTCCTCACAGTAAAAGAAATCAGAGCTGCAGTGGGAGGGAACAGAAAGGATTGGGTGATTTAATCTGCTGTTGTTGTTTAGTCGTTAAGTCGGGTCCGACTCTTCGTGACCCCATGGACCAGAGCACGCCAGGCCCTCCTGCCTTCCACTGCCTCCCAGAGTTTGGTCAAATTCATGTTGGTCGCTTCGGTGACACTGTCCAACCATCTCGTCCTCTGTCGTCCCCTTCTCCTCTCGCGTGATGACATCACCAGCAGAACATTGCTGGTAATTAAAGAGTTCCTGCTTTGATCCCAGAGCCTGCAATCATCTCACCTTCAATCAGTCTCATTGTAATGGAGGCAGGGGAGCAGCAGGACGGAAGCAGGAACTTTTTGCCTACTGTTATCTTCCTCCTCTGTTCACAACATCACATTTATGCAAGCATAATTTCTGGAACAGGATCCTGGGCAATGACATGAAACGAATAAAAATTCGAATCAGTTTAACACCAGCCTCATCTGCACTCCTTCAGTGCGTCTCTGATCAACCTCCAATTCATTTCGACCTAAGTGACCTGTTTGTGTCTTAAACTCTCTCTCTCTCTCTCTTTTCCCTTCCACAGCGATCCAGAATAGCTGTCTATGAGAAAATGTGGTCCTACATGAAGTCAGCAGAACCGTCTGTGTTTGCCAAAACAACCGCGGATGGAGTAGCCCGCGTGAGGAAATCAAAGGGGAAGTTTGCCTTCCTGCTCGAATCGACCATGAATGAGTACATTGAACAACGAAAGCCCTGTGACACAATGAAAGTTGGTGGGAACCTGGATTCCAAAGGCTATGGTGTAGCAACTCCCAAAGGCTCAGCATTAAGGTGGGTGGAATAATATAACAATATCCATGTTGTTATAGTATTCCACCTACCCTGATGTATTGTGTTGTCTTTTTCTTTCTTGTGGATTTGAGGTAAACTTAAAAAGTTTTCAAAAAAACAAAATCTTTCAGTATTCCGTGGAGTTAAAGAAGACGGTAAATTATTGTTTCATTGACCTTAATGCATCCATTTATTTTTTTCCCCTTAATGTTCTCTCCATGTTGTCCTTTCTGATTGTTTGTTGCTGTTTATTTCATTTTTTTTTTAATTTTACTGTCCAGTGGCTTTTTTTCAGTTTAAATGGTAAAAGCCCAAGTTTAAAGCCGCCATATGTGACAAGTATTAATTGCATGATGTGGTCTTCTCGTTACCATTATTATTATTATTATTATTATTATTATTATTATTATTATTATTATTATTATTATTATTATTATTATTATTATTATTATTATTATTATTATTATTATTATTATTATTATTATTATTATTATTATTATTATTATTATTATTATTATTATTATTATTATTATTATTATTATTATTATTATTATTATTATTATTATTATTATTATTATTATTATTATTATTATTATTATTATACTATTACTCCTCCTCCTCTTTTTTTTCCTTACAAGACAATTTTCCCCATCCCGCACACTTCAGTTTTTTTTAAGCAAGAGTTTATCTGTCCTCCATGCCACCTTCCACTACTTAACCCTGTTCTTTGCTGTTACAAACACATTATTTTCTATAGCTTCACCTCCCTGTGAAAAGAAACCAAACCAAACCAGAATACCAAAACAAACCAAAAAAAATCTCTATTTATATCTATATAATATTTTTTTTCCCTTTCTGGCCAATTTGTCCTCCTTGTGCTCCTTTCTTTATACGTTTGAACAACTTTCACCACACCATCTCTGCATTATTCTTACGAGTTATGTTTTATCGTTTCAAGAAATGCTGTTAACCTCGCAGTTTTAAAACTGAATGAACAAGGCCTCTTGGACAAATTGAAAAACAAATGGTGGTACGACAAAGGAGAGTGCGGCAGCGGGGGAGGTGACTCCAAGGTCAGCCTCAATGTCACCACAATCGGGTACCTTAGACAAGAGTAATCGGCAAAGCTGTTATTTGATGCATCAGGGGGGGAAAACCAAACTCAACCACAAGATGAGAAAACATCTCAAAACCTGTCACTGATGAGTGACTTGCTTGTCCAGTAGCTTGTTCGTTTGAGGGGCGTGGTCTTCTTTTGGGGGGAGAAGAAGTTTTCTTTCTTTCTTTTCCTTCCTTCCTACCTTCCTTCCTTCCTTCTCTCTCACCCTTCCTTCCTTCCTTCCTTCCTTCCTTCCTTCCTTCCTTCCTTCTAACAGTTTACAATTTGCAATCCAGCCTGAGCCCTTAATTAATTGTGGGGATCCATCCATCCATCCATCCATCCATCCATCCATCCATCCATCCATCCATCCATCCATCCATCCATCCATCCATCCATCCATCCATCCATCCATCCAGTCACTGTGAGAAATGGGAACTCCCTCCTTCCTTCCTTCCCTCCCTCCCTCTCTCCCTTCCTTCCTTCCTTCCTTCCTTCCTTCCTAACAGTTTACAATTTGCAATCCAGCCTGAGCCCTTAATTAACTAACAGAGAGAACAAGGATGAGAGAGGGGATTTGCTCGCTAGAGTTCTGTTCATTGGTCAAGAAGGACCCAAGATGTTCTGATGCTAGCCCAAGGTGTTGTTTTGCTTTGTTTTGGATTTTCGCAATGGACCCTGAAATCTCAGCTCTGAAACAAAGCTTCGGAATAATGGGTTAGACTTAATGCATCAACATTAAAAATCTTTACTTTGGTGTTATGAGGTGGAACAAACTCACCAATGCACGTTTGAAAGCAGCCCTTTTAAACCTTTTTTTTCATTACCTTCAAAATATTGTTTTTGAAAGGTTAGATCATCTTTCCTGCTTAGCCCTAAAGTAACAATTTGAGCATTGACTTGTTAAATCTAATTCACTATTTCTAAGCTCTGCTCTGAAGGTTGGGTGTTCCCCAGTATGTTGAGTGAAGAGCCCGTGTAGAAACAGAATGGTTCAAAAGGGACAAACTCACTGTGCATACCTGCCAACATATGTTTGGAGTGTGTCCAGCATGCTTTGGATCCCAGCTAGGACTGTTAATTTTAAGCTGTTCATTCGCATTGAGTATGGTGTGAGAGGCTGACTATTTGGAAAACCAAGTGATTGCTTATCTAGGGCTAGATCCAACATTGATCCTTCCTAGAATGGATCCATTAAAATAAATATTTTTGTTAGCTGAACATTTTGGTTTTGATACATCTACTGTGTGTCCAATGGATGCTGCATTTAGCCCTTGGGATTATCATTTTGTTTTTAAGGATTCCTTAAAAAATATAAACTGTCTTTTCCTTTTTGAAAACCCTTAGTTAGAATTATTTGCATGAAGTCATATATTAGATGCATTTAACTTTAGGAGACTGGATTTATTTATTTTTTAAGAACAGATCTTGTAGATGCAGTTGCTGATTATTCCACTGATAGTTATATAATGTTAGTGTTAAATACGGATTTCCAGTGTGGTGTAGTGGTAGAGTGATGGGCTAGGACTCTGGAGAACAGGGTTGGAATCCCCAGAAAGCCATGGAAACTCACTTAAGGAGTAGAACTGGTAAAAGCACTCCTTGAATATCTCACATACCTTGAAAAACTTGTTAGGTTGCTGTAAGTTGGTTCCAGCTTGACGGCACAGGACATGCACACAATGTTGATTTAACTTAGAAATTGATAAGGCTGGTGGAGTGGCTTCCTTAAGAAGGCAACCTCAGATGTTGTCACAGATTGGTGCATAGCTTGCAATGTTACTTTGTAAAGTAATTGGTTTTAGTTCCTGGGACAAAAAAGGGACGTGGTGGTGCTACGGGCTAAACCACAGAAGCCTGTGCTGCAGGGTCAGAAGACCAGCAGTCGTAAGATCGAATCCACGCAACGGAGTGAGCGCCCGTCGCTTGTCCCAGCTCCCACCAACCTAGCGGTTCGAAAGCATGCAAATGCGAGTAGATAAATAGGGACCACCTCGGTGGGAAGGTAACAGCGTTCCGTGTCTAAGTCGCACTGGCCATGTGACCACGGAAGATTGTCTTCAGACAAACGCTGGCTCTATGGCTTGAAGAGCGGGATGAGCGCCGCCCCGTAGAGTCGAACACAACTGGACAAAAATTGTCAAGGGGAACCTTTACCTTTACTACCTGGGACAAAGTAGTTAATTGTCATTATAGTTACCAATTGGACAAAATGACTCTTTCTATTTCTAATAGAACTTAAAATAGTTTTCATAGCTTTGTTAGAATTCTGAATGTGACCAAGCACTGTCTGAGCGGGATGAGCGCCGCCCCGTAGAGTCGAACACAACTGGACAAAAATTGTCAAGGGGAACCTTTACCTTTACTACCTGGGACAAAGTAGTTAATTGTCGTTATCGTTACCAATTGGAAAAAAAATGACTCTTTCTATTTCTATTAGAACTTAAAATAGTTTTCATAGCTTTGCTAGAATTCTGAATGTGACCAAGCACTGTCCTGTTGTTCAAAGCAAACAAAGTGACCTAGGTCAAAATTTAAAAATAAACAGAAATACAGATTTTAAACATTTGCGAAATTTGGAAAAGACTGTAGATCCTAGTGTCCTCTGAATTAGCCAAATACCAAGAGCAACAGTGTGCGAAGACCTGGCCTGATCCAACCCAACCAACAGGGATACCAGAAGAATTAAGAAGAGATTATTTTTAACTTGAAACTTATACTAAAAATCTCACTTTGAAATTCCAAAGCCCTTTATTCCTCAAAGAACCTGTTGCTCAAAGAGCAGAAATTCTCCTTCTATAAAACAGATTGTAAAGGTTTATTTTTAAAAAGTCCCAAAGACTTTTGATGATGATGATAATGATGATAATGAAAACAACAAAAGACAGCACTCCACTGTCTTTCTCTTTCCTTCCCCCCATGCACCTCTCCCACTGCTAGTAATTAAGGCTACAATCCTATCGATTCTCCTGGGGACTCAGTCCCATTGACATCAATAGTACTCATGTGATTAAAATAGCAAAAGCTTAATATTTACATCCAAAAAGGCATGAAAGAATCACCCTTATTGGGAAAAGGAGTTAATTAAATTAACTTTCAGTCTCCGGAGATGACATAAAAGTAAATAGCAACTGGGCAGAACTCCCCGAGGAGAGTTGCTAATAAAACTGGAAATATTTGTGTCTTTTAACAACAGGTCCCAGATTTCCTCAGAACAATCTATTAATTTTTTTTAAAAAAAATGAAAACCAAGTCCTCAGAGCTTGGACTCCACAGCTGTGGTTCCTTAGTTGTTGTTTATTTTTTTAAAAAACCATCAAGCCATGTCTTATGTCCTAACCTCTTACATGGAGTATCTAGTGTGACCTTCCATCTGGCCACTGCTCCCCAGATCATTTGTCATATTAGAAGAGAAAGTCAACCATCCTCATTCAACTGGGTCAAGAAACAAGGATGATGAGTGTTGCAGTGTATTCACATTTTGAGCTCATCAGGTTGGGGTTGGTTAGTGTAGGATGTCAAACATTAGCACATTTTAATTCTTTGTGCTGTACAGGAAAGGACATGTAACTTATCCAGACTTTTTTGTCAAATGTAAGACAACAACTAGGAGAGGGTTTTGTGGCCATTGATGTCATTCACTGAAATCTAATATTCCCAAAAGATTCTGTTACATGTTCTGGATTGCTGTATTTATTTTTTTCCTTCATGCAATCCAATCTACTCCCTTTTTTAAGGGACAATTTTTTTTAAAAAAAAGTGTAATTGCTTTTTGTATTTAATCAACCCACTGGTGGCATGATTATGGATGAGGAAGTATGTAGGCAGTTAACACAGCTCCCTCCCACATTACTTTGTCAGAGATGCTTTTATCAACACAGCAAGTGGAGTAATCATTTCC